ACAGAGTATTCCTACACTCTGGTACTTCTACTTTTACTCAAGTACAAGATCAGAGTACTTCTACTTTTACTGAAGTACCAGATCTGAGTACTTCTACTTTTACTCAAGTACAAGATCTGAGTACTTCTACTTTTACTGAAGTACAAGATCTGAGTACTTCTACTTTTACTGAAGTACAAGATCTGAGTACTTCTACTTTTACTCAAGTACAAGATCTGAGTACTTCTACTTTTACTCAAGTACAAGATCTGAGTACTTCTACTTTTACTCAAGTACAAGATCTGAGTACTTCTACTTCAAGTACAAGATCTGAGTACTTCTACTTTTACTCAGTACAAGATCTGAGTACTTCTACTTTTACTAAAGTACAAGATCTGAGTACTTGTACTTTAACTAAAGTACAAGATCTGAGTACTTCTACTTTTACTCAAGTACAAGATCTGAGTACTTCTACTTTAACTCAAGTAAGATCTGAGTACTTGTACTTTAACTAAAGTACAAGATCTGAGTACTTCTACTTTTACTCAAGTACAAGATCTGAGTACTTCTACTTTTACTCAAGTACAAGAGCTGAGTACTTCTACTTTTACTGAAGTCCAAGAGGTGAGTACTTGTGGTGCTGAGTGGTGCTGAGTGGTGCTGACTGGTGGTGTTGCAGGTGTTGGACCTGGTCTCTCTGCCCAGCGACCTCCCTGCTCTGCTCTCTGCGGGCTGGTTGAGTCCCTCTGAGCTCCGCAGGGTGTCGGCCATCGCTGCTCTGCTGCAGGATCTGCTGAGCGACTCCTCCTCCTCCTTCCCCTCCTCCGTCATCACCTCCGCCGACACGCTGCTGACGGAGCTGTTCAGCCACAGAGGCAAGAGAGCAGAGCCGTAACTCATCATCCACTGAGGGCCACACACACAAACACATGCAAACCTCAAGGGCCACTGGTTCCCAACCTCTTCTGTGTCGTCTGTGATGATTCGCCTCCACCTTTTCTTTTGTTAACCCTTTAATAATCACATTGAACACAACCTTATGTGAACATCACTAGTATAACTCACCCTGAACACAAACACATTCACACTTCACATTTACACTTTAAACATCTTTTGTCAAGATGGATAAGCTTAGATAGTTCTGGGGGCAGGACATCAGGATTATGAAAACTGATTGAAATGTTTTTGGGTGGACGTTTACTCTTATTGTGAGAGAAATAATAATATCAAGACTCACACCTAGCAGCGTCAACATCCTTTGCTAGGAGCTTGTATTGAGACACTTGAGCGTGCTTGTGTTTCATAAGCGTTGATGGTTCTGGGCTCAGGACACTAGGATTATGAGAACTGATTTGAAAAAATTGTTGTGTGGAAATAAATTGCAAAACCTAATCTTACGTACGCCCTGCAATCCCCTCATCTTCCCCTAGGGGTCCCCAAAGCCCACTGCACTGTGGGGGGGTTATTGTCTTATACATTAAGTAATGAAAATCTAGCAAATGTAGTCAAGCTGCAGATCAGTTTGGAGCTTGTATTGATCCCCTTCAGGAGTTACACAGTGAGAAACCCAGAGGTACGGATAAGAGATCACACGGAGAGTTAAATGAACACATATACACACACATATTTGAGATTGCCTCCGATTGCTCATATAAGTGGAGATAGGAGGGTCTATTTCTAACTTGTTATGCAAATAAGTAATCTGGCTGACACATGTTGACACTGCTACTGGAGATGTGAGTCTTGACTGCATTTATTTGGAAATTGGGCTTTACATAAATCTTTTGAAGAAGTCCAATAGAAGCCCAGGCTCCATGTGGGGGAGGTGTCCTTTTGCCAATTTAGAAAATAGAAATCGTCCTGCAGTTAAAGAGTTGAGGTGTTTACATTGACTTCTCTGTTTCTGTCTCTATCTCTCGCTCAGGGTCCGGGACCATCTTTAAAATTGGAGACCCCATACATCGGTGTGTATCGAACTCATCTGTCGCGTGCTGTAATGTGTTTGATCACACTGGGTTCTGGTGCAAACCATCATTCATTTTGCTTTTAAATGTAATGTCTGCTGATCGAGTGTTGCACAGTTCGCTCTGTTGTTCTCCTGTGAGCACGAGGCGAGGCAAAGCGTGTCATTCACAGCTTTAAGATGCTCAACGTTTCACCTCCTCTTCTTCTGCTTCATACTTCAGATGTTTTTCTGACTTTTGCTTTTCGTCCGCTACAGATTTCATGTTTTTACTTTTTAGTCAACTTTTTTCTCCTTTTTTAACCAAATGTTCTTTTTTTCTTTCTGCAATCATATCAAAAGTAATCATGTGACTAAATTCCCTAAATCTATAATACAATTCTTTCTTTAAAAGTGCCAAACAACACCCCCGTTGTCTCGTGTGCTTACCCTGATCCATTGCTCCTGTGTGCAGGTACAGCTCTCTGGAGGGGATCGATGTGGAGCGTCTGCTGGCTCTCATCTGCAAGTCCTTTGATAAAACTCTGAAGCAAGACTACATCTCCTCTCTGACCGGACGGCTGCACTCAGTCTACCTCTCTGAAGGGTGCGTGCAAGCAATTCAAAGCAAAAAGACCACATGGTCGCAGTCGAATATCTAAAGAAAAGCTGGTCCTTTCCTAAGCACTTCTACTTACACTCAGACAACAAGGTGGTGTAGTTTAGGAAGGAAGTGACGGAGGATGTTACGGAGTCTGGAGGTGAGTTATTAAGGCTGTCAAAGAGTGTTGAATATCAATTGAGATTTAAAGTAGTGAATGAAAGAAGAAAGGAAAACCTTGAAGATTCCCTAAGATTTACAGTAAGTCACAAAATCACGAGAAAAAGGAAGAAAATTATTCTTTTTAAAATCCCAAGTTTTCTGGAAGTAAATAAAGTTCTCAGGTATTTATGATGATATTGAATTCAAACTATAAATTGCAGAGACATACTCACAGATGTACTGGAAACAACTTTGAAGACTCTCTGAAATTGAAGTCACTTTTGTTTCAAGGCCTCAAAATCACGAGGAAAACAAAGAAACTATTTTATTTTAAAGCCCAAAGTTTTCAGGAAAATAATTTAAGTTTTCAGGTGATTTTCATGAGACTTAAATGAATGCTGTTGTAAGTGAATAGAATTAAGACAGAAGCTATAAATGAAAAACAAAAGGTTTTACAGACGGCCCTTTCTTCGTGTAGTTCTGGAGTTAGTGCATGTGAATGGTCTGCTAAGGTTCAAATACCTGTGTTACCAGCAGAGGGAGCTCCACACTCTCTAAGGATATCACTGCAAACACCAAACTCACCTTGAGTCTGCAGGTATGATGCAGTTGATTCACCTTTAATTGCAGTCCAAACAACAGAGAAGAGGATCCCACACGTGGTCAAAATACACCTTTAATTCATAATAAAGCAAAACATCTCTGACGGCTGAATGACTGACAGAGGGCCAGTGATGAGTGAGGCGTGACAGCAGGTGTTTCCTATGGAGGAGGATCAGTGACACGTGTTGATTTAGTGTTTGCTTATCTCTCAGGATTAGTGTTTTCAAATGTGTCCCAAATCCTCTTCCGTACATTTTCCATCCACCTCTTTTTCACGTGAGTTGTTAAAGAAGGTGCATTTTTCTAAATTAGAGCCACAAATGTTTTCATATCTGACCGAAAGAGTTGTTTTTTTAATTCTGACCGAGTTAGCTAGCAACGTTAGCGTTCAAATGATTACAGAGCGCTCGTTAACCAAATGATCAGAGGCTCCTTTCAGACAACAGTTCAGTGTGACGTGACTTAAACACCGAACACACCACATTATGAGGGTGAGAAGAGTCCACGTTGTAACCGTGTGAGATCTCCTTCAAGCGCTGGTGGAAAGTACTTTAGACACGTTAGAGGTACTTGTACTTTACCCGAGTACTTTCTACTACGTAATGATTATGAATGACATTTTAAAGCCAATTCTGTACTTTTTACTACATTTATTCAGCAGTAAATTCAGATTTTGACACAAAATACTGAGGAAAATGTTTTTAAAATATGATTATTGTTTATTTATTAAACTATTTAAGTCATTGTGTTCAAAGAATAATTGTAATTAAAACACATTAGGGAAAAAATAAAGTAAATATTGCCAGTAAATCAGCTTTTCTGTCAGAAAGCGGTGTAAATGGAAATAAAGGGGGCTGTAACTGAGGGGCGGGCTCTCATAATAAAATATAATAATCATCCAATAAGAGAAAGGAAATGTGGCTTTCCGTCCTGATCACTCGTATTCACCCACATCCCAATTAGTATATACACCTAACACAAAAAGTGAGGAAATCTGTGTTTGGTAGATTATTTCTATGTTGTAACAATGCTTCTTGGCAATACATCTTATACCGTTGGAAAGCCTGTTCAGTTACCGTCTAAATGGTGCCACATTTGTGAGGAACAAGCATTTGTGGCAGGAGCAGCAGAGCGGAGTATGTGGGGTGCGCCCCAAATCTCCTCTGCCAAGCTTCTTTTTCTGTTGACTCTTTTTTGGTTGCGTTTGGTGGACTGGATGATTGAAGTCCCTAACCCTAACCCATCCCACAAATGCTTGTTCATCACAAATGTGGCACCAATTGAAAGGTAAATAAACAGGCTTTCCAACGGTATAAGATGTATTGCCAAGAAGCATTGTTACAACATAGAAATAATCTAGCAAACACAGATTTCCTTACTTTTTGTGTTAAGATTATTTGATCAAACTGAATTTAACAGCATCTTGTCTCTGTTGCAGCTACAGCGCGGCGGCCATCATCACCCTGGAGCCGGTGAATGGCGGCACTCCATACCTGGATAAGTTTGTGGTGAGCAGCAGTAAGCAGGGCCAGGGAACCAGCCTCATCCTGTGGGAATGCATCCGGAGAGACCTGGGGAAACTCTTCTGGAGGTCCAGGACCAGCAACAGGATCACGCCCTGGTGAGACAAGGGGCCAAGGGACAGTTAATAAGTACAGTCAGTAGAGAAAATGGAAACGAGGGAAATGCAACACACCGATAAGCTGTACGAAAGAGACAGAAGTATACAAAAAAAGATATAGAAAGTTATAGAAAATCCACAAGCAAAGACAAAGTTAAATAAAGTCAGAAACTGAAAGAAAACCAAAGAATTCTAAGTAAAATTACGGAAAGGTAAAAAGTCCGAATTCATCAAAAAAAAACTGAAAACTGAAAAGTTAAAATAAAAAGTACAAAATCTGAAAGAATAAAAAAATGTTTAAAAGAGTCAATATTCCAGGAAAAATATCAGAATCTTTAAAAACAGTTGAAATGATGCAAAAAAAACTGTTAATGTCAGAATTATTTTCTTTAAGTTAGAATTGTATCAAAAAATCTAAAAGAAATGCAAAAGAATACTCAAATTATAACGAAAGATTAAGATTTCTAAAATATTAATCAGATGTCAGAGAAAAACAAAAAAAGGCAAATAAAAAAGTCAGTATTCAGAAAAAGAAATCCACCTGCAAAGACAACACTCTAAATATAAAAAGCTGAGAAGTCCGAATTTGGAAAAAAGTCAAAAATCTAAGAAAAGAAATTCAAAGTGTAACTGGAGAGTCAGAATTATGCTGCACAGCAGTTAACGTTCATTATTACATGGTTTAGTTGAATACTCAATTCTGATTGGTCAATTCAGAACACGTGACACGTTGTTAATCCAGAACAGACATACCGCTGTCAAGCACTTATTGACCTTTGTTAAGGACGCTCACATCTACACAAACAAGTCTGTTCGATTTAACTGTTTACAGTTTGGCTGAAAAGCAGTCTGCATGCAGTTTGCTTTTCTAACTGACAAGACAAGAACGACAAGAAAACAGCGGAGAAGTAACGGGCAGAAATCCTCCTTTTTACGCAGCGGTCCAGACATAGACATCAGACATAGACACATATTCAGTGTGCAGTTCCTTTGGCATTAGGGCAGGGATATCTAGATACTCTCCAAGCTTTGACATCATGAAGTCTGCTACTTTTAAAGCAAGCAACGATGTTTTCAAATCTGTAATCAAAGAGGTCCTCAAAAACGCTATCGAAGCAGTTCCTGCCGTTGCTACGTTAGTTCAAACGGTAACAACGGACTATTTTTCTTAGCGGATGCATGTCAATTTAAATCAATACATACAACTATTTTTTAAATCAATAAAATCATTTTCTAAATCCACAAAAGCATTTCAATTAATATTAGGAGTCATATCGTTACTTTGTTGAGAATGTGGCCATGTGATAAGCGGGTATGGGCGACTTGTCATTATGCCGATCTAGATCCCTCCGCTTCACGTCGGTGTTCTTTTCCCCATAATGACCAAGTCACTGCACATTATCCCTTACTTATTTAAGCTGATGGTAGGAGCCAACATTCAGGGTGTCATTTATCACTCAGTGTCTTCTGTGCTGCCTCAGTCTGAAAGTATGTGGTCCAACTTTACTGAA